GGAGGTGCGACGCACATATAGTATAAGTATGTTGGCGTGACGCCAACCCAACAAAGAACAAATCCGAAGGCCGTAAAAGACCCCACTAGCGTTTTCATTGTAAAGTATCTCGCCTTGTCTCTTCAATGCGCCTAGAAGGTTCACGAAGCCTCGGAAGGCTCCCAGGCAGCCCAGAACGTCCCTAAGCTGACCACAAAGGCTCCTGGCTGACCCCCAAGACGACGCAAAAATCAAACACCCCCACCCAAGGCGGCCCCAAGACTCCCACACTCCGCCCCTAGACCTTGCAAATCAGCCTTAAGACTCCCACGGGGACACGAAGGTGGCCACAAGAAACCCCAGTAGAGAGAAAGCCCCACAGGAGCTCCAGATAGCCACTGAAAGACCCTGCATGGGTCCACATGGCCACAAGACAAGCTCCAATGTTTGGTCACAAACGTGTCCAGGCCAACCACATCATCATTGTTTCGCAGGCTCGCAGGACAGTGCCAGTACGGGATAATAAGATCCGCCAATCGAGGATGCCCCAGGAGAGCCCAAGCCAAAACGACCCCTAGGAAGTGGTCGGGCCGAGGTGCCCAAGATGGCCTCCACTATCCCTCACATGCGCAGACAAACCGCTTCATGGTGACTCGGCAGCCTCCTTACGAAGCCCCCGAATGGCACACACACACACACAAAAACACAAACCAATCAATAAAAACAAAAACAAAAAACCTTTCAGACGTAAGTGATTTAGGGCGTTTCCTCTTCCAACCCTCTGCTTCCCATCTGGCGAGGAGGTTATCACTGGCCCTGATGAACAGACACAAACACACACACACACACACACACACACGACCAGCAACAAACCTGGGCCAATGCCAACAACCCCCCTCCCATCCCGTAGAACAAAACACAATGCAAAGCGCATATTGCACCAACCTGGATCATGCGCGGACGCCCCACGATCACGTTGCACTGGGTTGTTATAGGGACGGCGGGGATGCCAGCATATTACCTCCTGCGTGCGTCGCCAACACAGACACACATTATTCCTTACAGCAACAAAAACACAAAGTGCACATTCCACCAAAATCTGAATCTTGTGCGGACGCCCCGCGATCACTTTGCATTGGCTTGTGACAGGGACGACGGGGGGGGTTCTGCATATTGCCTGCCGCGCGCACTGCCAACACCCCCAACCATGCATCGCAAAGAAAAACAATGCAAAGTACACGTTGCGCCAAAATCTAGATCATGCGCGGGCGCCCCGCAATCACTCTGTATTAGTTTTTGCCAGGGGCGGCGGGGGGGGGGCGGCAGATTGCCTGCTGTGTGCAGGCCCGTCGCCCCCCTTCAAACAGAAATGCGAAGTGCATTTTGCAAGGGACGGTGGGGGGGGGGGGGCGGCATATTGATGGTGGGGGGTGGGGCGACATATCGCCCAATGTGGCGCACCTGGTGCGAGTGGCGCACCTGGCATGTGCGGCACACCCCGCGGACGCCGCGCACCTGGCTGGCGTCTGCATTGGTTCCCCATGGTTGTCGATGGCGGCCACTGAATATGCTGAGACTCGGGTGCTCCTTCTGTGTTGGGAGGGCGGGTAGGGGTGAGCGAGACAGTTCGTGCCTTTCCCGCTGGGAACTTGATCACTGTAACTTTTTGAAATACACCCCCTCCCCCACACGACCGGCGACGAACCCGGGACAATGCGGGCACCCCTCCTCCATCCCTGTCAAAAAACATTGCGAAATCCACATTGCGGCCAAATCTGGACCGTGAGGGAGCGCTCCGTGGACCGTGAGCACCTTGACCGGGACGGCGGGGGTGCGCTCATAGTGTCCGATATGTGCCTACCTGTCAAAACACAATGTTAAATACACTTTGCGGAAAAAAACCCTGTGGAAATTTCGATTACATGTGCGACAAATGTTAAACGCAATGCTAAATACTCTTTGCAGCAAAAAGCCCCATGTTAAACACAATGTTGAATACACTTTGCGACAAATGTTGCCAACACAGAATGGAAAATACCCTGTGCGGCAAAAGCTGGTTCACGCGCCGGCGCCCCGCGAAAACATTGAGTTCGTATTAGACAGAGGGGACCGCGGGGGGAACCTCGTGTTGACGGCTCTGTCCAGGCCCACGATCCATTGCAAAAGCCATACAACATGCACTTTGCGGCAAGATTTGGATCATGCGCGGGCGCTTCGCGATCACTCTGCACTGGTTTTTGACAGAGACAGCGGGGGGGGGCCTCATATTGTCTGCTCGTGAACTCCATGGGATCAGAGTCCCAGGCTCGGATGCTGCCTGTGCTGGGAGGGCGGGCGGGAGTGAGCGACACGGCTTGCGGCTTCGGGTAGTTTGATCCCTCCCCTACCCCCTACCCCCTGGGTCTGGAAGGGGGAGAACGGCGGGTCGTTGGAGCGTCAAAGATGGCTTCAGCGAGAAGGCAACCGTCATTGAGTTCCCTTCAGTTTTGTACCAATGTTGGCCTCCTGGGGGGGTGCTAATTAAGGACCCTCCGTCGTTTGATGGGTAGCCTCCCTAATGAACCCAAGACGGCCCGGAAAGCTCTCAGGGGAGCCCCAAGAGGCCCCCAAGAGGCTCCAAGAGGTCCCCAAGAAGTACGCAAGAGGTTCTAAGAGGCCCCTCAAGGGCTGGCAAAAGGACCCTAAACGCACCAAGATGCCTCTAAGAGGCCCTCAAGATACACAACAATAGACCCAAGGAGGCATCCGAGGGGCATCTGGCCCACACAGGCCCCCGACATCTCCAAATGATGCCACGCTCCCCTGTTCAGGGCAGCTCCGCTCGGCATCGTGTCTGGATGGGCTGGTGGGGATGCGCGAAGCGTTAGCACTTCCATCGTCACGACTTCCCTCGTCACCAGGCGGCGGAAGGCCGTAAGCCTCTTGAGTCGATATACTGATGCACCGCGCAATGAAACAACTTGAAAATCAGTCATCTCTCTCTCTCTCTCTCTGCTTATACAAGTCATATATAACGTATACATAACGTGGTATACACAGAAAATATATGCACAAAAAAGATGTGTATCTATAACACATATAGGTACAGACATACATCCATCCATCCATCCATCCATCCATCCATCCATCCATCCATACATACATACATACATACATACATACATACATACATACATACGTACACGTACATGTGCATGTACATGTATGTGTGCATGTGTGTGTATGTCCCACTATCCCGATATTCCTATAGCACTCTCGCTCTATATCTCTCATCCTCTCTCGCTCGCTCTCCTTGCCCCCTTCCCCTCTCTCGTCCCCCTGTCAGAAAGCAACGTACCCCTCCCTCCCTCTCGTTCTCTCTGTCTCTGCCTCACTGTCTCTCTCTCTCTCTCTCACTCTCTTCTCTCTCCATCCTCTCGGTATGTATGCGTATGCATACCCCTCCCCGCTCAGCAAAAGCAAAGGGGGATGAGGAGGAGGAGGAGGAGGCCAAGGAGGAGAAGGACGAATAATCTGGAAGGGGAAAAAAGGTCTTCGGAAGAGCACGGAGAAGGCAAGCGGGCACACACGGAAGACAGGAGCACATACGAATGGGAAGAAATCTAGGAAGCGGAATAAAAGCGCAAGATTAAGCCGACCCTCAAAAACAGACAAGGCCACAATCTGACCGCTGGGCAATACTACGATGAGTAGGGCACTTGAAAACTAACACTACTACTATAGTGCATGCTACTATTCCTGACGCGGCTAGGTCTGGCAATTATTAATCCTGCACCACGTGGGCGGCAAACTTGCAAACGAAAGGCCACGCTTCAATTGATAGCAACCCCAAGCCGTCGTCGGGAGGCTTGAACGGGCTAGCTGCGCATATGCGGGGGAGGCACGAGGCGCTGGGCAGCTGAAAGGCCCCGCCCCTATGCCAGTCGAAGCCTCCTAGAGCGACCAAAGGACACTTACAGCGAGAAAGCCGAGGCCAGGCTGCAACAAGGAGAGCGAAGAGGGAAATGACTTCGGCAAGGTCTCCGTAGCGTCCACGGGTAAAATGGCGAAGGCCACTTGGGGCAGGAGAGGGAGGGGGGAGTACGGTGAGCGCTAGAAGCGCCAAAAAAGGTGAACCGCGTAGCAATGTCCGGCGAAGCTCCAAAGCCAAGCAGCAGGTCGTCCCTCGCGAAGCGCAGTCACCTGACACTGCATCTACGCATCTACGCATTCGTCTGGTCACACACGGCCAAAGCATTGTCCAGAACTGTCCCATGGACGCCCCAACAAAGCAGAGCCTGCTAGGACACAAAAAGCGATTGCTACTAAGACTACTACTACTACTACTACTACTACTACTACTACTACTACTACTACTACTACTACTACTACTACTACTACTACTACTACTACTACCACTACGCCTACTACTATTCGGACGACAACGACGACGCTTACTACTACTACTACTACTACTACTACTACTACTACTACTACTACGACTACTACTACTACTACTGCTACTACCTACTACGACTACTACGACTAATACTACTACTACTACTACT